ACTAATCAGATTTACTAATCAGATTTACTAATCAAATTTACTAATCAGATTTATTAATCAGATTTACTAATCAGATTTATTAAGCGAAGCGTTCCTTTTTTGTTCCGCGTCGAGTTCGTGTTTCAAATATTATAATTCACCTTTGTTGAATCGAGGCATTGCATCGATTATCATTAAGCGACGCGTTATTTTCTTTGTTTCGCGTCGATTCATTGTTTCAAAACGCGTTATTTTCTTTATTCCGCGTCGATTCATTATTTTAAATATTATAATTCACCTTTAATGAATCGAGGCAATGCTCCGATTACGATTAAGCTACACTTTTATTTTTATATAAGTACTCGCTCCCTCTCCTTTTCCTTTTCTTTTTTTCATCATTACCACAACTACTTTCTATTCAACTTCTTAACCTTAACACTCAACTTTTCAACTTTAACTTCAACACTTAACTTCTCAACCTTAACACTTAACTTTTCAACCAACTTTAACACTCAACTACAACCATACTCAACTTAAGTAATTATTTTCCTTTTGATTCCTTGCTTTTTGATTCCTTGCTTCAAGTTAATTATTTTCTTTATTTAGCAATGTCGATTCCCCTCTTTTATAACGCTATGGTCGAGGTCAACCCTTTTAGCACCGGTAGCAACAAGCTAATCAACGAGATACTTAGTCGCTATAAGGATTTCGTAGTCGTTTATACTGATAGTAACGTTGTTAATTCAATGTTTACTTGCTATGACGAGGAAGATACCGCTTTGTTTCTAAGACTAATCGGCTTCGATTACGAATGGAAAGGTCGCAAAGGTTTTGTCGACGAGTTCGGCATCAAGCATTACGGTGCTAACAAAGTTAGTAATAACATCTATATTTTATAATCACTGATTGATTTTTTATTTAAAAAGAGAGCGCTCAAGTCCTTTATCTCCTCGACCACTTTGTCTCTTTCCTTAACCCAATTGAAAAGCAATTCACTTATAAGGATGTTAAGGTTCGATTGATCTTAAGTGATCTTACTCTTGAGCTTTTCGATAGCGATCATGCCGAAGCTAAAAGCATCTTAAAAGAGCTATTGATGCTATACTTTTTCACTATCGATAGCACTTTAGCATACAAACGCCTCACCTTCAAGTTCTCGGATGAAAATGAGTTTAAGTAAAGCAACAAGTGCTAAAAGCTAAGAGAGCTACTTGAGTCAGACGAGATTTATTTGAACTATGCTTACAAGCAAGAGCTTAAGCTAAAGGCGGAGACCGAGTTGAACGTATTCTACGTAACTGCAAAAGGACGGGTCTTTATCAACTCTTTGTAACTAATAGACTTAAGCTAAAGAACGGGTCTTTACCAACCCTTAGGCCTTTGTAACTAGTAAATTTAACTAATACTCTGAGTCTTTAATTAGTAAATGTAATTAGTAAATGTGATTAGTAAATATGATTAGTAAATGTGATTAGTAAATGTAATTAGTAAACCTGATTAGTAATTATGCATATACATATTTTTATGTATATAAACCTTATGGAATAACCCTACGCCCCATAGGGTTTCCCCATAGGGAAGGGCAGAATTTTGTACCCCCCGTAGGTTCCCCCGTGGGGAGGACCCAAAACTCCGTGGGGCCCCATGGGGCCCCATGGAGCAGCCTAGATTAAGTAAAGAAGACGACTTAATCTTGCAGTACGATTAATTCTTGCGAGCCGAATGCGTAAGAAAGAATATAAACGCCGAAGACTTTTTTTCGGCTTACGACCAGTTTACTATTAAAGTCACCGCTATTTACTTTTTACGTAACAAAAACGCCGAAGGATACAAACGAATCAAAAGAGCTTTCGACGGCGCTCGAAGCTAATTGCTATATGACGACCACTTTAAAGCTATATGCACTTCAGTCCGCAACGCTCGCTAATTAAGCGTTATTCTAGAAAACTGCACTTTTAACGCTTACGCTATCTAAGTTATCAACTACTATATTGTTGCTTACGTCGCCTTTTAAAAGACTATAGCTAATATAACTCGAAGACGCAAGTTTATTAAGCTTAATGCTACGGTAATCAACTTTACTTACTAGACCGTAAAAAATAAGAATAATACCAAGTGAAAAGATAAGATCGCTATTCTTAATAAAAGATTCTTAAAAAAGCTAAGACTAAAGGTCTTATCATATAGCCTGTTGATTTTAACTCTCGATAACATTGAAAGCGAATACGACGAGCTTAAAAAACGTATAGAGTTTGCCGACGAGAATTAAACTTAAAATTTCGTTTTACAAAAGAAGTTCGAATCCGGAACTCTACTCGTAAATTATAGTTTACAAGTAAAAGATGATTTAGCAACTAAAGCAAGATTAAGTCAACCTTTTACTCTTAAGACCTTTTTGCTTAGATCACTTATTGCGCGCTTTTCGCTATCACTAGCTTTGTTTTAAAGATCGACGTTATCTTTTGCTAATAAAGCTCCGAACGCTAAACTAATTACTTCGATCATGTTTACTTTACGCAAGTCTATCGACGCGAGCTCTTTTGCAGCTTTTAAACTTAAAGTGCAACGCGACTTTCTTAAGAACTAGCTGCTATTAATACTACTCGTTAAAGAAAGAGACAGCTTCGAATACGAACTAATTAAAGCTGTATCGAACCGCTGCTTAAGACTCGTCGAAATTAAAGACTTTATAAGTATAAACGTAGCTTTTATCAATTTTTGCTAAGACTTTTATTAATCAGCTTTCGACCGCTTGAACTTAAACGAGAATATTAATAATACTTTTTAAATCGCCGCGAAATCAATTAAAAAAGCTATTAGCTAGATCCGCAAGCTTTTAAAAGACGAATTTTCTAACAACGCGATCTTACGACTTTTCGACCGTCGTAGCTAAGTGAAAGTAAATAAAGAAAGAAATAAAGTAGTGAACTACTTTTTGTTATCCGAGATCTTTAATTTAAGCTTTAACGACGACGATTGCGATTGCACAAAGGTCTTTTAAAAGATGAAAAACGTATTAGAATTTAAAGATAGATTTAAAGAACTCTTTGACTTAAACGTTTAAACGAAGCTTTGCTTTAGCCGCAAAATCTTACCGTCCGCTACCGACCTATTAAAAAGAGTCTTTTGCGAAGTCTACACTTTCGAATACGTTAAATACTTTAAGCTAGCTACGAAAGGCTTTATAATAATAATGATCCGTTCCAACTTGTATCGATTCATCGAAGCTTTTTAAACCAACGCTCTTAACAACTTTATACTTTACTCGAATAATTAATCGATGTTCGCTATTAAGACTAAAAGCAGTACTTTAGCTAAAAGAATATTTAGTTTAAGCTCTTTTAAGTTTAAAGCCAAGCCGATGTCTTTTAATAAGCTGAACTAAAGCATTAGCTTAATAAGCACCGCTTAAAAGAATAGCCTTTTTAATATTATAAATGCAAGTAGCTATACGAAAGTTTAGCTTATATTAAGAGCTTCTTTTTTAAACGATAAGTACGGCAATTAGACTTTCTTTACTATTATAAACAAAAAGATCTAAATGTATTTATACCACTTTCGGACTAATGACTTAAAAAGAGCTTCGACTAATGCATTCTTTAATATAATGCACTCTTTGACTTAGCAAGTCCTTCGAAGCTATTATAAGCTGTACTTTGCCGCTTTACTTAATCGCCGAAACGGAAACTATAAGCTTATTGTTTACTCGGAACCCTTTCAGCTTTTTAAATGCAATAATAATGCTCGAGTGATTACGACTAAACACGACGCTAATACTAAACGACCCGTGAACCGTAATTCACGAATAGAAGATAAAGTTTTAAACTATTATTTAGTACTTTACGGCGTAAAGACTCAAATCGAAAGCTTAGCTATTTGGCTTTAAAGCTATACTTACGACACTACGCTTAAAAAGACCGTTAGATAAAAAGCTTTTAAACTTAAGTCGAAGACTTTAAATGCTCTTAAGAACATTGCGCCGCGCTAACCTTTCGCTATAATCAGTAATCTCGCTACTTTTATATCCGTTATTACGAAACAAAATGTTTTCTTAGATATAAACGCTTTTTAAAATGCTTTTTGCGGATAAGCTATCTTCTTTAATAACTATACCGCTTTGCTAAACGATAGTATACTAGAAAATAAAGTCAGCTTTGTAAAGCACGCTTGCATTATCGTCTTAAAACGCATGCCGCTAACTTTTCGATAAAAAGTCATTAATGAATTAAGCTAGCCTTTCGCCGCTACAATCTAATTAAATTACGTTAGTTTCGTATTAAAAGCTTTGATCGGAAGAATAGATTAAAACGAACCTTAAGTAATAGAAGAATTGACCGCTATCTTTGCTATGTCTTAAACTCAGTTTTAAGAACACTTTATTAAGCATAAGAAGAAGTTGTTTTCGGCATTTAAAAAAGGATTTGCTATTATCTTAAATGCTAAAGCTAAGACTTATAAAGCTAAGTCTTTCTTTAAAAGCAAGAGCCGCCGAGCTAACGACCTTGTGGACGCCGATAAGTTGAAAGATTTTAAAAAGAGCTTGCGATCGATTGAGTTATCTTTTAACGACTCTAATTCAAGTATAAAGATCACTTTAAAAAGTGCGAAATCCATTTGTAAACTACGGTTCACGAGCTAAATCGACGATCTTAAAGCATCATCTTCTTAGCTGGAATCCTTAAACCGCGCATTCGATAAAGCTATAAAAGCTTTAACTGACTTGCTTAAAGACGAAGATAACTTAACTAATAACTTTAAATTTTATTTTAACTTCGCTAACTTTCCGTCGGCTAAGTTCACACTTATCAACGATGCTATTAACAAGCGCAAAAACGATACGCGCTCTTTTACTCTTAAAGATGCTATTGCTAGTACGTTATCGTTTAATGCTAGCCTTGCTAAGAGAAGAAAACCCTTTTAGCTTAAAGAGAACGAAAGAGTTAAGGACGTAAGCACGGAAAGAGATCATAAAAAAGCTGTTAAAGCGTAGTTTAATAGTTTAGATGTTTAGAGTTTAAAGACAAGATACCTTCTCTTTTTTTATATATTAGATTTTTTCTTTTTGCTATACCTTCTTTTTTTTCTTTTTGCTTAATAGTAAGCGGAGGCGCTTACTTATTTTATAAGAGGGCGGATGTAAACACCTTGCTTGATAAGGTATCTGCTATAGCTATTAAGGCTATATTAAACGGACCCATCTTTTATAAAAGAACACACATCTTTTAGCTAAAACAATTAACGAGCTTTCTACTTATCTTTTCTGACTTTTCCTTATGAGACTATGAGGTCTAGCTTCAGAGCCAGGCTTTTATACGGCACATCTTTTTGGGTGCTTCTACATTAAGGTTAAAGTTAAGAAGTTAGGTATTGAAGTTAAGGTTAAGAAGTTAAGTGTTAAAGTGATAATGAAAAAAAGAAAAGGAAAAGGAAGAAGAGCGAGTACTTATATAAAAATAAAAGTGTAGCTTAATCGTAATCGGAGCATTGCCTCGATTTATCAAAAGTAAATTATAATATTTAAAACAATGAATCGACGCGGAACAAAGAAAATAACGCGTTTTAAAACAATAAATCGACGCGGAACAAAGAAAATAACGCGTCGCTTAATGATAATCGATGCAATACCTCGATTCATCAAAAGTGAATTATAATATTTGAAACAATAAATCGACGCAAAACAAAGAAAACAACGCGTCGCTTAATGATAATCGATGCAATGCCTCGATTCAATAAAAGTGAATTATAATATTTAAAACACGAACTCGACGCAGAACAAAAAAAGAACGCTCCGCTTAGTAAATCTAATTAGTAAATCTGATTAGTAAATGTGATTAGTAAATCTAATTGATAAATGCTGCACGGAAAGAAACCTTACATGCTGCACGTCCTTTTGCTACACGTGCTTAGCTCGGCTATAGCTCGGCTATAGCACGTGCTTTGCCGTACGTAATCTAATTAGTAAATCTAATTAATAAATGCTGCACAGAAAGAATTAACGTACTTAAGGCTGCTATACGTAACTTACGTAAGGCTATTACACGTAACCTACGTAAAGCTGCTATACGTAACCTACGTAAGGCTGCCACACGTAACTTACGTAAGGCTGCTATACGTAACTTACGTAAGGCTGCTATACTTAACGTATTTAAGG